TATACGATTGGCTGCTTCAAAATATGAACAGCCAATAAGGAAAGAGTCAGAAGTTATGTTAGTGGAATGTTGGAAGCTTCATTGGTGAACAACTAACTTTGAAACTTTAATAAAGAAGAAGATGATAACAATAATAACAATAATAATACTAATACTAATAATAATAATAATAATAATAATAATAATAATAATAATAATAACAATAAAAATTACACAAGATAAAATAATAAAAATAATAATAGTAATAATAACAATGACAACCATCAGAGATAAATACACCATCATAAATATAGTGCAAATAAATATATGTTATTAAACTGGATATTCACGTCTGTCCACTTATAATATAAAATAATATAAAATAATATAAATATTACAATATAATAATAATAATGATAATAATGATAATAATAATAATATAATTATTATTTTTATTATAAGTGCCATTGTTGATAACGATAACAGCAACAAAGAAACGCTAATATGCATCTATCTGATTAATTAATCATAAGATGGAGCAATGATAAATAGCAGTATACAAATTCTCGAGTATAGTAATAATAATAATAATAATAATAATAATATAATAATTGAAAATTTGTTAGAATAAATGGAATAATAATAGTATTAATAATAACAATAACAACAACAACAACAGTAATTATAATAATAGCAACAACAATAGTAATAATAATTATAACAATAAAATAATAACAATAACAACAACAACAATAATAATAATAAGAAGAAAAAGAATAATAAATAAAAGCAAGAAAACAAGCGGGCAAACTCATTCAAACCCCAAAAATCCCTTACTGGGTAGAATCTTTGATGCTATGAAGCCGACTTTTTAATGCAAATTAAGCAATTATTATAATTATAGGAATTTTAACAAATGAACCCAATATAGTTAGAAATTGGTGACCTAATGGTGACCTGAGTCTGAAGTTGCAGTGACCGTGTTCAAACGCACAGAGATCCCCACCCATCACGTGCAACGAGTGTGATGAGTTGATTCAAGCGTAAATTATAAATAATAATAATAATAATAATGAATGGTTTGTTAAATTATTTTAAAGTTTACATGATCACATTGAACTAAATAGACCATCAACCAGATAGTAATTATGTAAGGGATGTATTAAAAACTTATCTGTTTACCGGACATGTAAGTTAAATGAGTAAACATTGTTTAATTCGTGGTCAGTAATTTATGTAATTAATCAATTTAAGATGTTTGGATATTTAATTAATTTTAATTTAAATAGAAATATATAAAAATTAATTAAAAATTTAAGAAATATATCAATGATATGAACGGTCAGATACTAGAACATGAGATTAAGGTGGTGAAGACGATGATGAAGACGATGATAAGATGATGATGAAGATGATGATGAAGATGACGAAGACGATGACAAAGATGACGAAGACGATGATGAAGATGACAAAACTGATACGACCAGATTCATCAGGCACTAAAAAAAACCATCATGCTCGCTCATACACTCACACATGTTGAGATGTATTGATTGCATGGCTAACTACAGCTGTCTACAATCACGTATATATTAAAATATTTATAAATATGTTGTAAACATTACACTCATATATATACAGTATAATATATATATATATATATATATATTAGGGATGCACCGGATTCAGGTTTTTCAAATCCGGCCGGAGCCGGACTTGGCCGGATTTGAAATTCAAAAACCGGCCGGGGCCGAAGCCGGGGCCGGATTTTAGTTACCATTTTACATACGTTAGAAAAAATACTCACATTTACGGTTATCTACATGTTGAACATCAAAAAATAACACCAAGCAAATAGTTATTTAATTCCAATATATGAATAAGTTGTGTGATACGCCAAATTCTGTACACAAAGATCAGCTTATAATTTATGCATATTTGCATAACCCAAGTTAAAGCACAAAGAAAATTGTCCAGCTCAGCGCACAATTAGTGATGTTGTAATTATTTGTCATGTATACCTAGCCTAACCTTTAACATACCATGTTCTTAAATTATGTGCTTATGTATCTCTCTCTCTCTAAATATATATATATATATAGATATAGATATATATATATATATATATATATATATATATATATATATATATATATAATGTAACTATATGATCCGTCATGTGCAATTATCAATATATAGTATATACACGTGCACAAGTTCTTTTACACAAAGATCAGCTTATATATGCATAACCCATGTTATAGCATAAAGAAAATTGTCCAGCTCACTTCACAATTAGTGATGTTGTTATTATGTGTCATGTATGCCTTTAGCTTAGCCTTAGCCTTTAACTTATTGACATAAAATTAATTGAATTCAATAAAATTTTTTTTTCTATTTATAACATTTTCAAAAGTTGATAGACGCTTAAATCCGGCCGGATTTGAAAAAAAAGCCGGATTTTGGCCGGGGCCGGAACCGGGGCCGAACTTCGGTGCATCCCTAATATATATATATATATATATATATATATATATAGAGAGAGAGAGAGAGAGAGAGAGAAAAAGAAAGAGAGAGAGAAACGTTTTTAAAAATAATCTGCCCCAGGAATTGAAACTTTTACTTGAAAAGAGAATGCAGAAGGCTTATATACCATCATACATTGAATTCCTACAAAAACAGAAATCTCTGATAATGAAGAAGAAGAAGGGCCAAAAAAATACAAGCGAATAGGCATTTAATAAGAATAAAAACCAACATTTGTTAGAAGCTCTACTGCCGCCACCACCACCAACACCACCAATGAGACTGGTCCTCATCTTTTTATCAATCTTGTCAGAGCTCGAAACACGAGACAAATTCGATTCCGAACCGTGGAAAGAAGATGACGAGTCGTTGACCACCGAATCGTCTGCCTGCGAGTCGTCGCCAGCTAACGATGCCGATGATGAGGGAGCTGCTGGCGTCAGCTGCACGTGGAAAAGTGTGTTTGTTTGTATGTGTTCTGTGTGCGTGTTTGCATGTGTTTCTGTACCTGTGTGTTTGTTTGTATGCGTTTCTGTACGTGTGTTTGTTTGTATGTGTTTTTGTAGGTATGTGTGTGTGTTTGTATGTGTTTCTGTATGTTTGTGTGTTTGTTTGTATATGTGTGCTGTTTTTTTGGATGAGTTAGAGTGGAATATTTTTTATGACAATTGAACTATACGTGAAAAAGTATAATTGAACTTCTGTGAGAAAGTGTTTAATTGAATGAAGTGAATACCTAGAATATATAGATAGGCAGGCAGTGTGTATTGATTGTGTGTTTGCAAGATTAAAGTATTGATATAACATCTGGTCGTTTGCATCATGTGCAGTCATTAAATTTCAGTCGAAATCATGAAATGGAAATATATCAAATGGAAAGGAGACGAGTGTTCAGTGTGGAATTCTAGACTCTAAACAAACGAAACATTAGACAGGTGAAAATAACAGGAAAATAATTCCAACAAAAATAGGGCTGGCACTAAGGATGGAATAAACAACAGGAGTGACGATGACGAAGTGATTAGGATTACGATGAAAATGATTGTAGCAAAATGGACATTGATGATGATATGAAATATATAGAAATGGAAAAAAAATTGAGACAAGAAGAAGATGAACCAAACAGCAGAGATAATGATAACAAAGATGAAGATGACAATGATATGGTTATAGAGACAATGAAAATGATGACAATGATGATGAAGATGATGTGATTAAAAAGACAACAGCAATAAAAAGGATGATGAAGACGATGATGAAAATTATAAAGGTAATGGTAATAATGATGATGATAAATATGATGATGATGATGAATATGATGATGATGATGATGAATACGACGACGGTGATGATGAATACGATAATGATGATGATGATGATGATGAATACGACGACGATGATGATGATAAATACGATGATGATAATGATTGCCAACTAACATTAGAAGTACCTGGTGCATCTTCAACCACTACGATCTGACCCAGAATAATTTTTGTGAGGTGCCATTAACTAATTAATTAACTAACATAATTAGATGAACTAAATTGAATGAAAATATGTTAAACAGAAAATAAAACTTGAAACTAAAGTTAAATAGATCACATAACGTGAAAGAGAAGATTGAAAATACATTTTAACAAAAGTTAACAACAATAATGAAATCAGACTTTAGAAACTTGCATGTAAAAGTGTAAAAAAACCAAGAAAACAACAGCAAGTCAACTAACACGAATTACGAAAGATTTACTGGAATGAAAAAAAAGCTACAAAAGAACAACTAAGGGACCACAGATCAGAAAATCTAAAACGTATGCGACAACTACTAGCAAGAAAACATAATTAATAAATATTATATAACTATTTATCTATGGAGCAACAAGAAATTGAAAAGTAAAACAAACATCATACAAGAAAAAAATATGTAAACTGAAAGTTGGAAAGATGACTATACCTACACAATGACAATAAAGTGGTGATGGAAAATGATGCAGTGATGATGATTATGATGTGATGATGATGATGTGATGATGGTGCTGGTTGTGGGAAAATGGAAAAATCCACAAGCAAAAAACCTGTGATGCCCTGACAAATATGCCGTGGTTATCTTCACATGTAAAATAACTCTTCCCTTGCACTGTTCCATTGTTCTTTCCTTTCGGCTCGTCCAGCACGACACCAATCCACTTGCCTTGAGGAGTTGATCGTTTTATATTTTAATTATAAAAAATTTATTTGAAAAAATATTTTTATTTAAAAACTATATTATAATTAAACGTTTATTAAATGTTTGTTGACTGTATCAACAACATACCATTATGACTATCATGTTGTAATTATCAATACTTGCTGCATATAAATATAATTACACTTATCACTTTAATTTAATAAGTCGCTATGTGACTATGTGATTTGATTGGTGTTGTTGTGGTACTATTTAGGGAGTTTGCATCTGTCAAGTGTAATTTCTCTTGTCTACAGTATATATAATACATATAAAAATATACTAAACTAAAACTAATCTGCACAAAAATGCCACGGTTAATTAATTTACCGTGGCATTTTTGTGTAGACAAGCTAGCAAACTAACGTTCAGTTTCAAGCTATATGAGAAAAATAATAAAAGTATTGAATATTAATTTTTTTATGAAATATGAATAATAATTATAAGTTTGAAATATTTATTATTTGGCATAAATTTTGGGTTGGTTACTAGTTAAGCCCGTTCTATAACATCTGCTTCAACATCTAAAAATAGGTGGTCTGCTCTATCTAAACTTCTTCATAAGAAATCCTCTCACTCATCTTCTTCTGCTCAACAATTTCATGACTTTTTTGTAAATAAAAATACTTAACCCTTTTTAAGCCTTAAGGTCAGGGAATGATAGTTAAATGAAAGTTAGCTGACTTCAGACAAGTATTTATTGTATGTTTAATGAAAAAAATGTCAACCAGTTTGGAAGAGTGTGGACCCTATGAAAGCCACCGTCCCGATGTCATCCTTGCCAACCACCTTCACCCTCGTCCCTATCTTAATCGGTTTGTCCGACATCTGCGGTTCACTCTTCAGTTACGTTATTTACAAAATTATTAACATATAAATTAACAATTTATTAAAAATTTAATTTAATTAAATCAATGATTCGGATGTTAGTGGCGATCGATCAGCAACATAGATAATTATTTGGTTTAGAAATTTGGTTTACCAGCTGATGACTAACAAAACAATTATCGAGCTACAGACGATGTTTGCAATTTGATTTTTTAAAAAATGTTATGAAAAGCCATTTAAAATAATAAAAGTTAAGTTTATTTTTGAGACGAAATTTCTTTATTACCAACCATTTAAATAGAGATAGTTTATAATTTTGTAAATTATAGTATAATTTTGTATGCCATATTTGCATTAAACATTTCTTGCCTTTAATAAATTATTAAAAATCTAAACCTTTTTTTAACCTATTTCGGACCTGCTCATGGTACTGAAACAACCTTAATAAAAATTCATAATGAAATCTCTCTCTCTAGTGATAATATCAATTAATTTTACTCTTCTTTTTGACTTTTTTTTTGTTTTTGATAACGCTATTTTTATAATTTTCTAGAAACTAAAATACACCATGAAAAGCAGTGGTAGTAATTACTACTAACTAGTAGTTAAAAGTAGTTAATAACTATTCTATTTTGAATAGTTATTAACTACTAGTTTACTAATTTTAGTAGTTAGTAACTATTATAGTTAACTATTTTTTAACTACTTGAACATATTTTTCCTCAGAATTAATGTTTATCTTTTTAATTGCACATCCCTATGTTCTAATTTGTTTATTTGTTTCCGCGTCAACGTCATTTCTTTTTAAGCTTTTTTGTGTACGAGATGCAGATAATTTGCGTTTGATTAATTATTTAATATGAATACTCAAATTATTAAATTGTGCTTTATTGACGCCGTTTTAAAAAAAGACGACGATAAAAATTTTACTGCAAATTTTGTAAAAGCATTTTCTCTAGTAGCATTTAAAATATTATACTACAGAAGGTGACAGTGGCATAGAAGATATTTACGAAAATGACATACTATTAAAAACAAATATTACTGATTTAATGGAGATAGAACAAATTGATGCTGATGATTTTGATGATGTTCTTCTTTTATCCCCGCACAAACGATGTGGTAATCACAATTTGAATCTGGTAGCAAGTGTAGATGCTTTGAAAGCAAGAAAAAATCAGCAATACAAAAGACTATGATAGAACCATAGCATAGCACTGTCAAACTATGTTCATCGAAGTACTGTATATTGAATATTGTACAAGACATTACTGGCTCTACATTTATTAAACCAAATGTTACAAGGTGGTGTTCAGAATTTTATGCAGTAGAAAGAGTTGTTGACATAGGATTCGACAAAATTTGTAGTTGTCAGAAGCTTTATTTACAGAAAATAGATTTAGTTTTTTGAAGTTTTTTCTCCAAGCCATGAAAACGATAATAACTGCAATGGATATTATTCAGAGTGAAAATTCATACATAGGTCACATTGTACCAACAATCATTGGAATAGACAAAAAAATTCACGGTGTACAAATAAAGCTGTTCAACTTTTATTGCAAGCACTGACTGATAGTATAGAAAAAAGATTTGGGTAAATTTAAAAAAATGATGTGTATCAGTTTGCCTCTATGCTAATTCCACAATTTGAAACAAACTTTCTAACCTGTGAAAACAAAAAGAATACTCTTTAAAAGAAAATTATTTGCATATATGGAAAATTTACACAGAGAAATTGAACAATCAAGTAATAGTTTTTATAGTTGCAATTAATAAATAAATATTCAAATTACATTTGTTTATTAATGATTTAAAGTCACACATTGTTTGAAAAGGTTTTTTTGGTAAATAGTTATTTATTTATTTGCATCAGAAGCAAATTGCAAACCAATGAGTCCTGTACCTTCATCTTCTTAATAAAGCGAACCTTAGCAAATAAATGACAATTTGTATGATTACTTGGAAAATAATCAAAATTTTTCGGATCATGTGTTGGCTGATAAACTCAACAGTTACTTGGCTAACCCATCAAAGAATATTGAAAGTTTATTTTCATATCCATCAGTATGTGCAAGTTTCATTAAATTAAATTCAACATTACCTATCTCTGCAGTGGTTGTGCATCTTTTCAGTGTTGCTGGACAAATTCTAACTGATAAACGCTGTAGATTGTTTGATGATCATACCAATAAAATGATTTTTTGAGAGGTCATCTTAAACACACATTTAAAAAAAAACTTTCATTAAATAAATATATATGCTGGTTAATAAATTTACAAAAATTTTTCAGAAGGTTTTTTATAATAATGATAATGAAAAGTAGTTAAAAAAGTAGTTAACTATTATGAAGTAGTTAATAAATACTTTTCTTTAAAGTAGTTAAAAATTAGTTACTAACTATGTTATTAGTCAAGTAGTTAACTACAGTAGTTCACTACTTTTTTGGAATAGTTAGCCCATCACTGTTGAAAAGGAAACTCTCATGAAAATAACTACTGAGCAAAAATCTTCCTATCAGAAAACTCCGAAAAAATCTTTTCAAAAAATACCTCTTGACAAAAGCCTCTAGTCAGCATCACTCATACTAAATCTTTCCTAAAATATATCCACGACAAATTATTCCCTATAAAACTGTTAAAATGTTTGCATTATCTTTTTATGGTAGTATTTGAAGAAATAGGATATGCCGTGTTATTAGTTGTGTTATTTTGGCATTTTAGCTCAAATATACCTATTCACTTGAATCATTGAAATCTGACGTACTTACGTAGTATGTTCATTTTTTGCTAATTTATTGAACGTAATGAGTAATTCGAAATTTGAAACTCAGAAGAAAATTTAAGTTCTACTAAAATTTTTAATGTTTCTTATTTTAAAGACTTTCTCTATCAGAAGCAAGCACCAACGATGGAATCGGCTGGCGGGAACTTCACATCAGAGGTGGACATGGGTCCATTTTTACTGACCCAACCCAACCCAACCCATCACTTAACTCAACCCATCCCAACCCAACTCGCCTGAAAATGCAACTTTTCAACCCAACCCAACCCACGACCCATCTGCACGCAAACAGGCAAATTTTTACAAATGATATTTAAAAAGCAGAACTCAAAAATACAACATCATATGTGTAATAAAACACACTGGTGAAGTAATTACACTGCAAGTGTAATAAAATAACATGAAAATTAATTAAAAATTAAATGTTACTAATATTTTCCCACAACAACGTCAGAAACATCAAACTTTCCATATTTGGCACCTAACTCAACACAGCTCTGCATCAAATTGAGAAGCCCTTTATTTTCAACAGATTTGAATGAGTGGTAACCATCAACACAGAAAAAGATCTGTCTATGCTTCAACATCATTCATTCTTGAGGAGATGGTTGAATTTTTCGTTTCAAGCATTGCTGGATTTTCAACTGTGACTTTGGCAAGACTACAGCACAATGTTTAATATGTTCTTGCTGATTTTTAGTGCCAAAGTTTTTACCTGATGAATCTTTAAACTGATATACCTTATTGCACTTAATACAAGCACAATAGTAATTCACGGGAATTTCGCTTTCATCATTTTCCTTTTTTTGAAAAACCATGTGAAATTTCTGCCAGATTTCTGATTTTAAATTTGTGGGTGCTTTTAATATATACCACCCTGTTTTTTCTGGAAAGAATAAATATTTAAATACTTAAGTATGTTTAATCAATCAATTAAATTTATCTAATGAATGGGATTTCCAAACTTCAACAGCGCCCAACTAAAATTTGAAAAATAAACCATTTCTAGGTAGAAAAAAGAAAGAAAATGAAACATGAATATCAGGTAAATAAGTAAAATGAGCAATTGAGAAAAAATTCTGATGTTTGTAAAGTGTAACTGTAAAGACTGAAGAGATTTGAAATTATGAAAAATAACAATTAAATCTTTAAAAAAGGAATTAAAACATAAAAAATGTAAAAATGTTAATGTGAAATTTATTAGATTTTTTACTTTCGCAAACTTAGCAAATTTAAATCACACAAACCTCTCAAATGACGCTGAATTTCTTCTGATTCTGCCATACTTGTAAATAAAACTAATTTTCTCGATCGGAAAGAAGTTAGCTTTTGCTCAACTCAATAATCACAAAAAGAAAGTGGAAACGATAGACCAAAGATACAATGATATTACAGCGATATAGAATACACCGATTATTAACTAGTTAAAATGTTCGTTTAAGAATAAAAAAAAATACAGAAATAAATTATTTATAATAAAATTTGAAAATTTCAACCCAACCCACACAACTTTAAAAAATTTGGACCCAACCCAACCCAACCCATGGGTTAACCCAACCCATGTCCACCTCTGCTTCACATCGTGTTGCGGTCAGTTCAACTTAAATGACAAAAAATTCCACAATGGAACTGCAGCATAATTAATAGCAACATGGACTAGAACGTGAACAACAAAATAATCAACATGAGAACCAAACTACGGAAAACAAGAAAAAAAAATAAATATTTCCATGTACACACGAAAACACATACTTGCATATGTTCCATTATAGAAAAATATTTATAATATATAAATGTATGTACAAATTATATTTTCAAAATTGTAGTATTTTACTTTATTCAGAATTACACATCGAATTTTTTTACCTACCGTTAGACAAATATAATTATTTTCACCTGAACGAGCCAATTGACAAGAAAAGTGTGCACCGATGTTATTTGCATTGGATTTTATTAAAATTACAGGTTTTTTTTGTTGAATATTCGCTTTTAATTGTTAATTTTTATAAATAATATTGCAGTAGTTTACGTTAACACAGCATGTGTAATTATCGTAATATATCGTATAAAAGGTCAAAATTAAGTTTATTCCGTAACGTGTCTCTTCGTTTACATTACATTTGAAGGAACTTAAATATTAATTTATGACTGTTTTCAATGAGAGCACGTGTCTTCCGATTGTTAAATTGGCATATGATATTATATTATTCTGAAAATCTATAATTTGATTGACATTTATTACAGTTTTGAAAATGGTAATGTTTTGCACCAAACTGTAATCATTATTCTGAAATACAAACATGCCAGTATTTATGATTTTCTACTGATCACAAAACGAAGAAGACAGATTTTTTACTGAACACAAAACAAAGAAGAAAGATGGATAGATCTAGATTCTAGCTAGGTATGTTTTATAAGTTTTTGTTATGTGGCAATAACTATACACTTTTTCATGTACCTTTTGTTTAATAACCTCTGGTTGTTTTAGTTTATTTATGCGATGAATTAATTAAAAATTTTAAAAAGGATAAAATTCAGTTGAAACAGATGCAAATTTTATGTGAGTTCATTCTCGTCTTACAGTGATTTGGAAACATTTTTCAAAGCGATATTTTTGCATTCATGCACATAAAAACCCGTCTGTAATTTATTTGACGAATTGAGTGTTGGCAAGTTAATAAATTGCAGAAATTCTGATGTATTGGTCAGAAAATAACAACTGCACTACTGTTAATATTGATTCTAACAAATGTTGCAAGTTATCTAAAACACAAAAGCTGTTTTGCGATGTTCTGCAAAAATTAGTTTTGAAAGCTGTTGGTGTGAATTTAAATTTTGCACTTGAGTTTGCTGAAGCTATGTGCAACTTTCAATTCATAAAAATTGTATTCATCAGTAAACGCAGATTTTTGAAGTATTTGCATAATGAGAATCAGAAATTCAATCGTATAACCTAACCTAATAAAATAAACAACACGAATTTGCTAAATTAATATCCACTAGAAAATCCACATGCATCCAGCAAAATAACATTAAACATATCGACATATGTAAGATGTAATAATTTTTTCATATACTACGTGGTTTCCCGTAAATTTTTAACTTTAAATGCAAAAAAATATTCCGGCCATTTCACACAAAAAGGTTTCTTAGCTGTGACAGTTCAATAACATGAGTGTGTTTAAAATGAGGTATGAAAATTAAATGAACAACCACAAATTAGCGAATGGTTAGGGTTAGGGTTAGAATTTCATAATAAACTAGAAAAATAGAAAATATAATATATTGAAACCACCATATAGTCATTATGTATTACATTTCAATACAACCACATACTTCATTAAATTAACTTTCACGACAATTATCAATCAATGTAAAATTGTTTCTGCAACTCAACTAATAATTGAAGCGTTACTAATTGTCGTTTCATCGGCTTGATTATAGATTTCTAAACCTGTACGCCGGTCAGACGATTGCAGAAGCACTGCAGGCCACAAGGGCAGTTCAAGCTGCAGTTCAACAATAATAAAAATCCCTAAAAACATCCCATCAAGACAAGCCCAATCATGCACATGACATGAATAATAAATAAAAAGGAACAGAACAACTTCATACAAACAATTGGATGCAGAGTATGAGCACACAAAATTATTATTTATATTATTTTTGAAACAAAAGAATTTTTTAAGTACAAAACCGAACTTTGCAGGTTTATTAATTTAGACAAAAATGAATTATTTTCTTTGAATTGTTGGCAGACATGCTTGGCAATTCATTCATTTCAGAAAAAAAAACTAATTGGGCCGTTGGTTATAATAATTTATTGTTTTGTTTCGTGCAGCCTTCATTTTCCTTGCTTCTCTGAATCACGTCTTTATCGATTGTTCTTTAGATTTAATTGTTTCCTTAATGGGTAGCATCGTTCGATGGTGCCTCTTCGTGTAGGCTAAAATGAGGGGAGGAGTGTGTAAGTACCTATCTAGTTTTTTTATCTCTTAAACATTTTTTAGAAATAGCCACATTAGATACAAAAAATCAGTCTACAACGGTGCACTACATGTCAAAGTTTCTCAATCGTAGTTGATTAAAAACTGGAAATGTACACTGCCGGTGGTCGTTCTTTGATTGAATGGATTTATGATTATTTGAAAAGAATACATTTTTCGATAGAATTAGATGAGTGTTTACAGAGGCGGAACAAGGAGGAAGGTGCTGCAATGCACGTTTTACTACAAGGTGAGAGAAAAAACATTATTGAATGTTCTGTGTAAAATATAACTATAAAATAAACGGAAAACAAGAAAAAAATGACATTAACTAATGAATTTTGAAAATCATCTTGCCCTGAAACACTAATAAAATGGAATTACAAAAATCAGCTGAAAAGAAAGTCATCAATTTTACAATTTTGAAATCATTTTCTAACCGAAAAATTCTTGCCACACCACTGGGTGTTTATCAAAATATTTTAAAGACTGGCGTTCCACAGGGCAGAGTTTTAGGCCCCGTATTATTTATGGTTTGTGTTAATTGCATCTTTGAGGTGGTGAATGATGGAATCGGTTTTGTTAATTTGTATCTTTTTGCTGATGGTGCTAGACTTTATAGAAATATAAAATTTGTTGATCTTTTGTTTAAATGTACCTATAAAGTGGTTTTGTAAATAGAATATAAAATCGAATGTTGATAAATGTATTTTAATAAGATTTTGAGGTGATATTATGGCCACGGTTATTGTAAAGGTTTTAGAATTTTGCTATGGGATAATTGATTTTGGTTGTTCTCTTTGATGATTTCAATTAACAAAACATCTATTTAATTGTACAAATTAGATCCAGTCAATTTTCGGTGTAATTTTCAACAATTTCTTAATTTGATGAATTTTTTTTTCTTACCACTCTACAAAACATTAGCCTGTTACTCTCGGAGTATGCAGTTGGTGTGAGAGAGGTCAAAGATATGAAAAGGGCTAATGTGAAGACTGGTCAATAAAAACGCAAAAGCATTTATTTAGACGCACGCGGACGTTGTAAGTAAGACGAGGTGGAAGCTATGATTTTTTTTGTAAAATATACAATTTTTTTCTGATTATTTTTACAATTTTTATGATTTCGCTATCAAACGCAGTTTTGTTTAATAAATTTTCGCCAAACATTGTTGTTGTTAAAATTAGAAACAAAAATTCATAGCATTCAACGGAGGTATTGTTACATTTTTTAACCTCATCGCAAACATACATTTTCATTGTGGGTACCAACATTGGGTCCAACCAAGACCCCATTGGCCATGCCTTCAACACCTACACTTACAAAAGTTGTATAAAAATAACATTCAAAATGTATATACTCATCTGCTTTACACGACGAAACTTGGTCAAAAAGTTCTGCACGAATTACTTAAAAAAAGTTCATGCTACAGATAAAAGTTACAATATTCTTTGCTAACTATTTTTCGAATTCTGGTTTCAAATCAAAATTATAAAAAAATACAAATTCGGTTTATCAATTGTTAATTCGTACTACGCTCGCAGACTATATTGCATCCATTATTTTAGACGTAGATTTTATATGACATAATAATTTTTTTTAATATGTATTTCACTTTATTTGTTATTTAAAATGGACAACAACAGAACACAACATTTTGAAATTTAAAAATATTTTCAGAATATTTTATTTTAAAATGAACAGATTATATAGAATGATGCTGAGTGGATTTGATTAACCAATGAAACTGCATCTGATAATATGGCCACGTTGAACAAGATTTTCTCAAAAATTTTCGTAATGATTTGATTTTTAGTAAACTATTTTTTTTGGTATGAAATAAATGTAAGTTCATTAAAAAACTAAAACAAAAATAAGTTATCCCTTCGAATATTTAAAAATTAGAAGAACATTCTCCATTTTGTGCACTAGTATCACAGACAGTCACATCTTTCTCGATCTTGATCTCACAATTTTTTTTCGACGGTTTTCCAGGATTTTCTGCAGTGCGTAGAATTCATTGGTTGAGGAAGTTAATTCATTTCGTTGCGTCTCGAATCAATTTCTTTGCAGTTGGTGTTGTGTGTCGGATTTTTTATGAAATGTTGTTTTAGCAAACTCGCAAATTTATACGAGCTGCCACAGGTCTCACACAGGAAAGGTTTGTCCACCGAATGTTTTTTTAAATGGCTGTTGAGCATCGATCGATTGGCACAAGTGTACTCACATGTTGGACATTTGAGCTTTTCCCCAATTCCATGCTTCGTCAGCATGTGATATTTCATGTGATGGTTGGTGCAACCCAAAAATCCACATCCATCAGCCATGCACTGTTTTTGCAATCTTTTTTTTGTTACTATCAAATTTCCATCCATGAGTTATCCATGATTGTTTGGAAGTTGTTTATTTATAGAATAAAGAAAAGGACGACAAATTACTCAAAGGAAACGAAATTGGCATTGAATGGCCATTTCCCTGGTTTTATAGATTTGTTAACAAAGATATTTATGAAATTGCAAAGTATAGAAAGTCATTGTTTCCGAGCGATCCTTTGTTTATGAAGAAATTGTTAACTTTGGTGACTGTTGTAAAAAATTTCTTCTTTTTTTCGTAACTTTCGAAATTTCTTGCTATGAATTATTCATAATGTGTTGTTAGGAAATGTGTTGTTTATTTTTCAATAAACAGAACGACAAAATGCTCAAACAATTCCAGGAAGCAAAATTTTTAACTGAATTACACTTACCCGTTTTATATGGAATTCTTAACATAGCTCTTCTTGAAATTTCAAAGTATAGATAGCCATTGTTATCGAGCGATTCTTTGTTATAAAAAAAATTTACTTTGGTGATCATTATAAACTTATGTGTAAATATATCAAAGTATAAACTTTGTAAATGTTTTTATAAATATTATCAATGGTGGATTTAGAGGGAATGCGGAGATAGTAGGGGCAGATGGGGCATTGGTCCCGCTGTTGTGAGCAGTTTTTAAATTGAATTCAAAAAAAGAACCGTTTTATATATCAATTCGACTAAAGAAAGTTGGCAGCCACACTACCACAAATTTTTGATCCCAGTGGCTATTTTCGCCCTTGTCAAAATTTATATGTTTTCAAAATTTTGGCCCCCCGTCAAAGTTGTCTAGATTTTTTATCATTAATTACAACGAAATTGTTAGTAATGAATTTTTAATATTTTTTTCAAACTAATAAAAGTTAAAAGGCAGAAAATATTACACCGAACTTGTACGCTGATATCTCTAATTTTTATCATAGAAGTAATTTCATTAAAATTATTTCAACATGTCTTACACTAATGTTTATTTAAATTAATTATTCTGGTTATAAAAAAATACCGGTTGCTTTCTAAGGGATTAGAATTTGTTTGAAAAAGTTAATTTAAATACTGAATATTTTATGAGAAATGCACGTGCAAAATATTTTAATCAATGTTCTCCAATATTAGTAGTCGGTCATTTGGGGTTTTTTATTACTGGACAAAACATTTTAAAAATTTCAGCGCTTATAAATTTAAAAATTTCTGAATTTGTAAATTTTTTTAACGTAATTCTGTATTCAAAAATTAGAGAAACACTCTCCATTTTGTGCACTGGTGCTTATAATATTACATAATATTACATGACCTTATATTGATACCATACTATAATATCGCCTAACCTTGAAATAAACTGCTGACAACGCCGAGATAACATCCAATAAATTTCGAAAAATTAGATGAACGACGCATGTTTATGTTTCTTATTATTTTTAAAATTTAAATTTATTTATAGTGATTATTTATTAATTGCAAAGTATTTTCAACTAAAATAAAACGTTAGATGTCAGTTTAATTTATGAAAACTTCAATTACTGAATATTTTATGAGAAATGCTCGTACAAAATATTTTAATCAACGTTTTCCAATAATAGTAGTCGGTCACTCGGGGTTTTTTATTACAGGACAAAACATTTTTTAAAATTTCAGCGCTTAATAATTTAAAAATTTTTGAATTTGTAAAATTTTTTAACGTAATTCTGCATTCAAAAATTAGAGAAACACTCTCCATTTTGTGCACTAGTATCACAGACAGTCTAAATCTTTCTCGATCTTGATCTCACAAATTTTTTTTCGACGATTTTCTAGGATTCTTTGCAGTGCGTGGAGTTCATTGGTTGAGAAAATTAATTCGTCTTCGTTGCGTCTCGAATCAATTTTTTTGCAGTTGGTGTTGTGTGTCGGATTTTTTTAAAATGTTTCTTTAGCAAACTCGCAAATTTATACGAGCTGCCACAGGTCTCACACAGGAAAGGTTTGTCCACCGAATGTTTCTTTAAATGACTGTTGAGCATCGATCGACTGGCACAAGTGTACTCACATGTTGGACATTTGAGCTTTTCCCCAACCCCATATTTCATGTGATGGTTGGTGCAACCCAAAAATCCACATCCATCAGCCATGCACTGTTTTTGCAATCTTTTTTTCGTTACTACCAAATTTCCTAGTGATGAGTTATTCATGATTGTTTGGAAGTTGTTTATTTATAGAATAAAGAAAAGGACGACAAAATACTCAAAGGAAACGAAATTGGCAATGAATGGCCATTTCCCTGGTTATATAGATTTATTAACATAGATATTTATGAAATTGCAAAGTATAGAAAGTCATTGTTTTCGAGCGACTCGTTGTTTACGAAGAAATTTTTTAACTTTGGTTATCATTGTAAAATTCTTGTAAATGTTTCATAGTGAAACGTTGTAAAAGTTTTGAACAATTTAATCAAACATTCTTTCAGACGTTATTATGATCAGTGACGTTGATATATTTTGATCATATCGTTATAAATCAAGGTGCTTATAATATTACATGGCCTTATATTGATACGATACTATAATATCGCCTAATGGATGGATGGATGAATGGATGGATGGATGGATGGATAGATAGATATATATTTAAAATATTCTTTTGATTAGTTTAATCAATTTTTTTTTGTGAATTTGTGTTTGAATCAATAATCAGTTGTTTGTTTGAACAGTACAATTTTTAGACTTGTAAATACCATGGCTCTTAAATCAAATTAGGATTTTTTCGCCTGAATTTTTTTATGATGCTCCTCATGTCGTTTATTTTATGATTAAAATCCATGATCAACTGTCATTAATAAAGGTTTTGATGAAGATGACATCGATTTCAAGCTATTTTGATGAAAAAATATTAAAGGAAGAAATACCGACAGCATACCTTATACTTCTTTTTGTTCTTTATGTTCTTCCACATTTAATCATTCTACTTAAAATATTATAATCTATTTAATTTTTTTAATTTGTCAACAAAATTTTTCTTTATTAATGTTGTTACTAAACATTCAAACTATATTAGGAGATTTTTGTATTATGCAGATGCAACGTCATCATCAATCATTTTAACATTTATGATAGTTGAATTCTTCTTCTTCATATTAACAACGTCATCATGTTTAGCATTCTTCGTTGTAGTGGCAGTCGTTGAAATTCAACATATGGTTTAGCAAAACGTTCATTACCCTCGCTATCGAATCAACATGTATAAGAGTACCAGTGACTTAGTTCATACCCTCAAAATTAGTTTAGTAAAAATATGTATAAGAGGTTGTAGTAATCGTAGTATTAAAAGAACTTAAACCGGCAAAAATGGTAGTAATAGTAGTAGTAGTAGTAGTATTAACTAACAATAGTAGTAGTAGTAAAAGTTGTAGTCGCAGTAACAGTAGTAGTGGTAGTGGTTTTTGTAGCAAATGTTATTGCAGTTGCGGTGGTTTCACTAGTGTAACAGCAATAGTATTAGTTATTGTTGCGGGGATTTGTTTAATAAATGAGCAACAGTTTCTCTGAATGCAATCCTGAACTTTTTGGAGGTGCAGTTGTATACCATTGGGTTAATACAGGAGCTCACGTAGGCCAGGCAGTACCAAAACACAGTCACTACTCTATAAAAGTTGCTAGTCGGTTCGTCGTCGAAGTAAGCAATCAGCAAGTGAATGTCAATCGGTAGCCAGAGATGGCGAACGAAGCGACGGCTAAAATTAGCAAACGACTGTTTTGTTTCATGCGCCGAGTTTGGTGAATATTTCTTTGAGCAGTGGTGGCGTGTGTTGTCTGTCGGTTTGTTTTCATCTGTCGCCCTATACCAATCGAGAGAAAGGTAACAATCGTTAATGGCAGGAAGTAGGCTAATAAGAAAAAGAAACCGTACATCATCCTTCCGTTATTTTTGTTATACAAATCACAAATAATTTTATCCGGCGTTTTTTCATCGCTGAAAGTTCCGTAGAATACGAAAACAAAAGTGTTGGCAATGCACGATACAAGCCAGATGCTGCAAATTAGACATGACGATGGGCCGTGTACGAAAGCAAGATGTCTTCGCATTGTGTACAACTGTTGAGTAGCGTACAACTGCTATGAGTACCATGGTGTACACTAACGTACGCGTCAACCTTGATGAGGTAGTGCATGAGTTTGCAGGCCACTGCGCCAAAGTGCCATCTATGGAATGTGTGAGTGAGTTTATGAGTTGGGTGGAAGAAAAATAGTATTAGTTAGCTGAATGTATAATTAATCATTTAAATAATAATTTGTTCAAAAATATTGAATAAATTGAATTAATAATATAAACAATTCATTTATTGAAACAATAAAAGTTGATACAGATTTTCTAAAATTGTAAAATATCATTAAACAGATTTATTAGATTAAATAATTTGTAAATGTCACTTGAACAGCAACAGGAAAACTTGTTACTGACGTGAAGACAATTTTTATAACTATGGACACAATCACTACTGTTATATCATTGCAATCATCATTACATCGCAATTTTAATTTCAATACAAAATAACAAAATAACTTTTACGAAATAACTTTATAATCGTCATCCACATCATAATTTTCATCATCACTACCCAAAAATCTCAATGACCAACGTGGTTACTAACGAATCAAAGGCAAAGGCATAAGCTGTAGACGGCGGAACGGCCACAAGGAAGAGAGAGTCTGCTACAGCTAAATTCAACAGTGTCAAGTTTATGACGGATTTCATTTTTCTTTTACTCACTATGGCGTATATAACTAAGCTATTTTCGGCCAGCCCGAGACACGTGATCAGGCAAAATATGATTGGCTGGACAATTTTGTAAACGATGGTTATTAATAAACTGTTTCCTGTTGAGTATGGTGGCGATGAGGGAGATGAAGATAATGATTGGTTGTTGTGATAGTAGAAGTGGTCGATTGCGTTGTTTTTGATGCTGTTGTTAATGTTGTTGTTGTTGATGTCGAAATAGATTGATTCTGAAAATCTAAATGGTTGTTGTGACTGAAATGGTGATGACGTTATTGCTGTTGTTGTTGTCGTTGTTGTATCCATTTTTTGCAATAAATCTATAAATAAAAATATATCCTTATTTTTTCACAATAACTCAAAAAAAATATTTTAGCTGCGTAAAACTCAGTTTCAACGGCGACTTATACATACGTTGCTCAATGCCTGAGTTTATTTTTGAAAATGTTATTATATATATATATATATAATCGTGTATATATATTTTTTTTATTTATATATAAATTGACGTGTGCGTGCGTGCGTGCGTGTGTGCGTGCCTGGTATGTCTTTGTGCCTGTATGTGTGTGTGTGTGAAAGATATGAATGCTCACAAAAAAGATGCTCTCATCACTTAATAAGGCAATTTAAAATTTTCAATCTCAAAGCATGAAATAAAAGATAGAAAATTAAATTATTATTATTATGAAAAAAAAAACATGGGCAAAGACAAAATGTCCCTATGCCCGCGACACAAAATTAACTATAAAATGTACATGAATATATGTTAAATAAAAATATGAACAAAAATATAAGAGTTTAATTTCTATCATTAATTCAGCTACCTATATTTTATATATATATATACGCAAACATTTCTTCATAAAAATTCCAATTTCAACCATTCATATATATCGTCCTCTCTTATAAACAATCATGTCAAAACAAAACAAACATTTATACCATCATCCAAAATCTATAAACAGCATTCACGAGTAGTCATCCTTCAACTCAGCTCTCCAATCGTATTTGAATTTAGCATTCATAAGAAAATCATCCAACTTTTTTTTGGACTCATTCAAAACACTGCAATTAACAACATCATCGTTCAAATTATTCTAAATATTAATAGTTCTATTAACAAAATAATTTTTTCTTAAGTTCTTAAAAGGTTGAAACACCAACTTTTTGTCCAATCTTACTTCTGCTAACATTTTATCTCCATTCATTGCATTGCCTTAGTAGAGCTACGCAATGTACTGCAATAATTGTTAGTGCTTCGGAGATCTTTTTAAAAGGCGCTTAAAAACACACCAATAATAATATATATCATTGAATACCGATGTTGTAAAAGTTTTTAGCCTTGATAAGAAAAAAGTAAACAGAAGAATCGTTTGGTGTTGGTTGAATTGGACAATTTGATTGCAAAGGAGACCCTGTTGAAATATGCATACAGGGTCAAATTGTTAGGCAATGATCTAATGAATATCTGGTTAAGTAGCGGCTTAACTCGTGAACAGAATATGGAATTGAAGAAATTATTAGATGATGCTAAGATTAAAAATTAAATTAAAAAACTGTTTGATCTTTTTGAAGTTTCACCACTCCATAATGTCGTCGTGAAACTGGAGCACTATGGTATGAAAATGAATGTCTGACGTGCAAAAAGCTTTGTAGAAAGTTTAAAAAAATCTATAGAAAACACCAACGACTTACAACAGAAATTAGTGAAATAGTGCGTTTAATTTATATATTTAATTAATTTTAATTAATAAGTCGCATTTTTTCAATCTCTCATCGTATTCCATTTTCCGATTTCTCTAAACATTCTTGTGGCTTTACGTTGTACTTTTTCTAAAACTTCCTTATCTTTTTGCATATATGGGCTCCATGCTTGTTGAACGCTATTTTGTCCTTACTGGACAAAATAGCGTACAACAAAAAAAAGATCAAATTTCTTGACAAAATGACGCACGAAAAAATGGTGCCGACAAATAAGCGAATGACAAAATGGCGCAAAATAATTCAGAAATCATTTTTTATTTAATGTCAATTTAACAAATGAAACTGTTAAATTTAAATTCGTTGACACGAAATCATTAGAACAATTGTTGCAAATTATTATTATTTTTTAAATTTTGAAACAAAATTGTAAAAATGGCATGTCAAAAACGATTAACTTAATCTTTTTTTTACTTTCGTCAATAAAAACGTACAAAAAGGCTTCTTAAAGTTGACGGACGGTGTAGCTGAATACACGAAACTTCAATTCCACTTATTAAAAGACACCAAAAAACATCAAATAACAATATTCATCACATTCTAAGATTTAAAAAATGCATTTGATGAGTTTAGCTGCTGAGATGTGGTTTTTGAGAAAAATTATGAAAAATAGTTGGTCCTCTCATACTTCGAAAGAAGATGTATTAAAACAGTCCGGTTATGAAAAGAAGAAATTACCACAGATAATCCGACTGGGGCAGTTAAAGTTTCATTCGTGAAATCTTTGTGTCACTTGTTGAATATCACTACATTTCAACTACTACAAAGTGTTAAAGATCGGGTTTTGTGGAGGTTGATGGTCGCCAATGTCCTGAAAGGATGAGGCACGAGAAAAAAGACAGGTTATTCACGATCTAATTCCATTTGTTCTATGTTATCATCACATTTCAACCTAGGTCAGCAAAATGATTTGTTCAATGTATGTTCGACTACTCGATAACTGTATCGGTGTGCAATAAACCAACCTCCCCTTTCCAAGTAAAACGAGGGGTTCTGCATGGTGACCTCAGTTTTCCATTAATTTTCAATCTATGTTTCAATCTCTTAATGAAAATATTTGAAGCCAAAAAATACCAACAGTATGGTTATACTTGGGGGGCCCAGAGCCAAACTAAATCTAAAGGTTGGTTTCAATTTGCTGACGAAATAGCAATTATCTCAAACAGTTCGAAGGAAGTCCAAAAATTAATAGAGCTCAATCAAGCCTGGTGTAAATAGACTGGCATAAAGATGAGAATTGGCAATTGCTGCACACTTAAAATACAAAAGCTTGTTGGTAAGTACAAACTGTTTTTGCCTCAATTTACAATAGATGGTGCGACAATTCCGAAGGTGAAAATTAATTAAAATTTTACGTACTTGGAAATGATTTACAACTTCAAATGAAGAAACGCTAAACAAATGATCAACTTTGCTATAGGCTCAAAGTAATGCTGCACATGATTGATGGATCGGTTACAACAGTTTAGTAGAAGTTGGAAATTTTCAGACGCTTCGTTCCAACTCAAATAACCTTTGGTCTCCATACCTATTTTGCTGACCTGGATAGATAACACTTTAGACCGTCTTGTGACAGAAATGGAAAGAAAATGGTTATCTCAACTGTAATGTAGCTGTGTCGCCGAAGTTATTTTGTTCCCATATTAAACTGGTGTTCTCAACATAAAATTGTTTAAACATTACGCCATATTACTAAAATTAAAGCTTTGTGTGTACCTCAAATTAAACGCCAGCAAGAAATAAGATCTCTATGGTGTTAATCTAGCAGCGTCTACAAAAAAGTCGACAGTCTTATTCTAGAAAATAATGAAATAAAATGGACACCAAACGTCTTCAAACAACAACGGCTTAAAGCGGATTCCAAACATCTGTCGTTGCTGCAATGCCAAGGTACCCTGGCAAAGTTCGTAAAAAAAGCACCTTCACGGCTTGGAGATTGCGCGGTGGTCTAGGGCAACAGTGAAACTATCAAAAGTGCTTTTAAAATTCACTAGAAAATACTTCATCTAGCAACTACCTACAATATTAAACATATTCAGATGGGGCAAATTATCCAATGTATTATGCCCGCTTTGTAATGCCAAACAAACAAACAAATAAACATGTTAATCTAATTGTGGCTCAACCTCAGCACTGAGCAGATATTTAAATTGCAACAACAAAATTCTCACAACAATTTTAGATAATATCATGGCAAGCGCAATACAGGATATTGACATTTTTGCGGATGAAGAAAAAGAATCAGTACTTCCGATATCTGATTTGTTCAGTTTCCGGAGGCCTGACATTGCCGTCCTCAGCGGAAAGGCGATTGAAGTACTCGAACTGACCGTTTGCCATGAAACAAACTTCATGAACTCAAATCAAAATAAATTGAATAAATTATAAATAATTTAATAAACAATCTTGTTAACAATTTTAAACATTTTAGTATTTTAATAACACTTGGAATCTCATCAATAAGTTTTCATAACCCTTTTAATTTATCTTCTATAGATGTAAAATGGACTGACCAATTTTGCATCATATACCGTGAACCGTGACAAACAACGCGTAAACCAACTTTCTACGCTACTCTATCATAACTGTACTCATTTTAAAATGACGAGCAAGGATGGCTAGTTTTATCATTTTATTGAATTTTAATAAGTTGGCATTATTTTATTTTTTATATTATACTACAATTTTATTTTTTATTTTTATATGTTATATTTAACTTACATCTTTATTTATATTATATTATATTTTATAAATAAATTTAATTACCTGTTTTATCTTTTCTTCAGAATATTTTTTTTTATTTATTTATATATCTTATTACATTGAACTATTTTGATTTTATTTCTAGTTTTTTTGATCATCATCAGTATTTCGGCCGATAAAAGATTTTTCATTATTATTATAATTATTATTATAATTATTATTATTATTATTATTATTATTATTATTACTGGTGTAATGAAACCATGATCATTTTAGATCACCCAAAATAAATAGATTGACCTTTTTTTTCAAGAAAAGTTATTTGGAAATAATTAAATGAAAATCAAATAAAAAAAATCAAACCAATCTCATTTGGATCTTCCATACGATATCCAGCTGTACCAGTATCCTTTCCAAATTGAATACCAACTTGCTGGCCGTGCATCAGTGCTCCACCAAGCACGACAACCAACAACACTGGCACTGTCCAACAGAACTTCATTCTTTGATTCTTGCAGTTGATCTGTACTTTAGGAATTCTATGCTTTTAATAAATTAAGAAATATTTAGTTTTTCTGAGATGCAATCCTTCAATTTATACAAATTTTTTATACGTATATATATATATATATATATATATATATATAATGTTCGTGTCATTCATATATAGACATATAAACTATATTCGCTCAGTACATATATAAACACGTAAATGTTTAACCATTCATAAAGACCATTCATCCGCATCATTTGTTCTAACGTATTCTTAATATAATATTAGGTGGTGGACTCGAGATCCAGTGTCAATAAAAAAGCAGGGAATTTTGACTTGAAATGTTGCAAGTTTATGATGGCTCTTAGATGGGGAGGTACAAGTTCTGTCCAAATTTTAGGACCTGTTATTTTTATGTTTGTCTGGATTAATTTGAGGCAAGTTTTGTAGATATAGAAGAAAGGGGTGTGTCTAGTGGTTGTAGATTGGACGGAATTACTTAATGTGTAGAAGTTGATAAAGTGAGGTGGGAGAAGATTGTTGACAAATTTAAAAACGAATAAAGCAGAGTAGTAAAGACAGATGAAGTTAAGTGGTAAAATTTTTTTTGCTAGGAAGAAGGGTTTAGTATGGGAATAGGGTTTGAGGTTAAAAATTAAACGTATTGATCTTGTTTGAGAGAGTATTAGGTTATTCAGGTGGCTTTTTGGACTATTTCCCCATAGTGTGATGCAAGGGTAGATGTATGTGTAATAAAGCGTGCGAAGAGCAGAAAGAGAGAGTTTATATTTGATTTTGTAGAAGATGCCTGTGAGTTTGTTGATTTTGTCTGAGGCAGTTTGTAGGTGAGAATTCCATGAAAGATTTTCTGTGATGGTGATTCCAAGAAATTTGGTTGACAGGGTGCGGTTTTTAGGAACGCCGTTAATTAATAGGTTTAGGTTAGGAGCTTGGTTGGTGAGTATTTTTGGGCCAAAAATAATGTATGCACAATTCGAATAATTTATAATTAGCTTGTTATTGGATACCCAGTTAGAGTATTTTTGGAGTTTAAGATTGATAAGTTCAGAGCAATCTGGTAGGTTGTTGGAAGTGAAAAGAAGGTTGGTGTCGTCTGCGAACAGTACGCATTTGGTTGAAGGCAAAACGTTGCAGAGGTCATTTATGTAGATAGCAAATAGAAGGGGTCCTAGTATGGATCCTTGTGGTACCCCGTGATGAATAGGAGCGTGCTTTGAAATGATGTTGTCCATGGAAACATATTGTGTCCGTGATGATATATATATATATATATATATATATATATATATATATATATATATAGACGT